GCCTTCTCTCAACCTGCCACCCTGTCTGCCCACAATCCAGGTGAGGCCTCCGGCTTTCTCTCAACCTGCCACCCTGCCCACAATCCCACTGGTGCCACCAGGAGCTGGCGCTGCCTTCCCCAGACCCTCGTCCTGTGTCGACGGTCGGCGGTTGCGTGACGTTAGCAGGAAATCGCACGACTTCCAGCTGCCTTCCACCGTGCCGCCCTGACAATGGAAGTCAGTATGTGGGTTTCCAAGCGCACAATAACGTGCTTTTGTTAGGTTCGGCTATTGTTCGAGGAGAACGTTCCCCTCCCCCTTTGGGGGAGAGGACCCTGGAGCCAAGTACCAAGAGCCTTGAATGGCTAGCTTGCCATCTGAAGCACGTCAGCAGCCAAGGAAAGTTGGGTTTTGGAGGTGGATCTGTGGGAAGTGGATCACCAGGAATCCCTTCTCTTGATTCCCGTTGTTGTTAACACTCCGTGGCCTGAGTTGGCTGCCTTCATCTACGCCAGGAGTCCCCAAACTTGCCAACTGTTAAGACTGGTGGATTTCAACTCCCAGAAGGCTGGCTGGCTGGGGAATTCTGGGAGTTGAAGTCCACAAGTCTTAACAGTTGCCAACTTTGGAGGCCTCTGATCTATGCCAAGGGTGTCCGACCTTGGCAGCTTTAAGACCCGTGGACTTCAACTCCCAGAATGCTCCGGCCAGCATGAACCGCAGGCAGGCAGGCAGGCAGGTCAGACACACTGTAGATAGATATGGATGGACGGAGACAGACAGACAGACAAATAGACAGACATCGTAGATAGATGGACAGACAGACAGACACATACTGGTGGATAGATATGGATGGATAAAGATAGATAGATAGATAGATAGATAGATAGATAGATAGATAGATAGATAGATAGATAGATATAGACAGACACACAGACAGACAGACAGACAGACAGACAGACAGGAAGGCACTGTGTTTCCCCCCAAATAAGGCCCTGTCTTATATTTTTTGGCCACCAAAAAGGCACCAGGTCTTATTTTCAGGGGTGGTGGTGGAAGGGATGTCACCCACTCACTCACCTCACTTGCGTGCATCACCCCTGCCCTCCTTTTCGCTGTCAGAGGCCTTCAGGAACGTCTTCTGCAGCTGGCAAGGCTTTCCTGAAGGCCTTCGCAGCCAATAATAAGAGCTCTGGATTGATCCAGAGCTTTGTTATCTGAAGGCCTTCAGGGAAGACTTGCCGGCTGCAGAAGAAAAGGGCCGGCAAGGCAGGTGTCGAGGTGTGCAAGGCCTGGCTACACCTGTCCGAAGGTAAGTAGTAGGGTAGCTCCACCTCCCTCCCATCTCCACCCGAGCTTAATTTTTCCCCGTCCGCTCCGGAGTGGGCGGGATCTTAATTAGGGCTTATTCTGGAGGTAGGGCTTATATTGGGCGCATGTGTAAAAAAATCCAGCTAGGACTTACTTTCGGGGTAGGTCGTATTTTCGGGGAAACACAGTAGGTAGGTACATGGGTAGGTAGATAGAATGTTTTATCACAGTCAACGATCAGAGACCAGAGCAAGTTGAAAGCTTTATGACCGTGCGATTCGCTTAACAAATGCAGGGATCCACTTAACAACCATGGCAGCAAAAGGCGGTAAAACCAGGCACAAGTGACGTAATCAACGGGGAAAGGGCGGATTAGCTTAAGGACCATGCGATCCCCTTAACGACTGCAGGGATCCACTTAACAACCGTGCCGAATAAGGTTGCAAAAATGGATGGCACTCAACTTGATCTTGTTTGGCAAACAGGAATGTTGGGCTCAGCGGGGGTCGTACGTCCGGGGATAACCTGGAGGTGCCCCCTCCCCTTTCCCATGTGCCCTTGCAAGGCCTCCCCCCCCCCCCCCCAAAAAAAAACCCCAGACTTCTTACAAAATAAACGGCTCCAAAGCTTCCATGGCCGATCTCCCGGAGGTCGGTGAAGAGCTTCTCCGGATCTTCTTTGTAAAACAGCTCGGCGATCTCCGGGTCCTTCAGGCTGCCCGCTCGGCTGGTGGACGGCATTCTGATGGGCGGGGGGGGCGGGTGTGGGTGGGAGCCCACCGGCTATCTGGGCCGAAAATGCCCCGTCAGCCCTGGGGGGCTCATCTGGGTGCAGGAAGCGTCGTTCACATGAGTCACTGCAAGGGGGGCGAGAGAAAAGAGAAGAAGGTTACGGAAGCCAAAGAAAGATCCCCGCCGGTTCAATTCTATTACCCCGTTTCTCCAACAATACCGCCTCCCCCAAGAGGAAGTCCCAGCATGTTTGATAGGCATGAAATGAAATTAAGCCCCTCCCCCCAAATTAAGGCCTATATTAAAACATGCGAAATGGGGGGAAATGGCGGGGGGGCTTGCCGTTAGGAAGTACTTTTGTTGCACACCCGGATATGGTGCTGCCTGCGTTGACCCCGATACGAAGGGCCCAGCCAACGCCGAGGTCAACATCCAAGCCGTCGCCGCCCCCTCACCCAAAGATGCAGTGGGGGGGGGAATTAAGTCACCCCCCCAAAAGATGGCCTAGCCATTTTTGGGGGGCTCAAAAAAAAAAAAAAAAAGAAAGACCCGGCCTTATTATATGAGAAACACAGTATTTATTTTACTCATTAGAAGATCGAGGGGGTGAACCTGCACAATGCTCCTTCCTCCTCCTCCTCCTCCTCCTCCTCTTTTCCTCCACAACAACAACCACCCTGTGAGGTGGGCTGAGCTGCGAGAGAGAGGGACTGGCATTTATAATGGTTGTGGTTTCCTTTGGGTCGTGTGATCGGATTTTGTGCCCGTCTGAGAAGCAAAGTTAATGGGGAAACCAACTTAACAACCATTTTACAACTGCAGCAATTCACTTAACAACGGGGGCAAGGGAGGTCGTAAAACAGGACCAAACTCACTTAACAAATGTCTCCCTTAGCAATGGAAATGTTGAGCTCGACTGTGGTCGTACGTCGAGGACTACCTGTAATAACCTGCAATAAGGGGTCTTGGAGTCTTAGTGGACAACCAGCTAAACAGGAGTCAGTTGTGTGCGGCGGCAGCCCAAAAAGCCAATGCAATCCTAAGTTGTATTAACAGAGGGATACAATCGAGGTCAAGGGAGGTCCTAATACCACTCTACAAAGCCTTAGTAAGGCCACATCTAGAGTACTGCATCCAGTTTTGGTCACCACATTATAAAACAGATGTTGAGACTCTAGAAAAAGTGCAGAGAAGAGCAACCAGGATGATGAAGGGACTGGAGGCTCAAACATACAACGAACGGTTGCAGGATCTGGGCCTGGCTAGTCTAGGGAAGAGAAGGACCAGGGGAGACAGGAGAGCATCTTCCAATATTTGAGGGGCTGCCCCAGAGAGGAGGAGGAGGGGGTCAAGCTATTCTCCAAGGCACCTGAAGGCCAGACAAGGAATAATAATGGATGGAAACTGAACCAGGAGAGATTCAACCTGGAAATAAGGAGAAACTTTCTGACAGGGAGGACAATCAACCCATGGAACAGAAGTTGCCTTCAGAAGTTGTGGGAGCTTCATCACTTAAGACTTTCAAGAAGAGACTGGACAGTCATGTGTCAGAAATGGTGTAGGGTCTCCTGCTGGGGTGGGTTGGACTGGATGACCTACAAGGTCCCTTCCAACCTCTGTTAATCTGTTATTATTCTGTTATTCAGAAGTTGTGGGAGCTTTATCGCTGGAAGCTTTCAAGAAGAGACTGGACAGTCATGTGTCAGAAATGGTGTAGGGTCTCCTGCATGGGCAGGGGGGGTTGGACTGGATGACCTACAAGGTCCCTTCCAACTTTGTTAAATCTCTTAAGCAACTTAGTCGGAGCAGCCTCCTGCAAGTCCCTAGGCTGGGAAAACACGGCTAAGCCGTGGCTAGTTCGGGGAGGTATTTTCCCTAAGGTCTCGAAATGGATGCAATAAAAAGCAGCTTGATTCATGCCCGCAACCAGGAGGCTTTGTTATCACAAAACAATGGAAAACTAAACAGCATCCTTCTCCGAGTCGCCCGTACGTAAACATGTGGGAAAATGCTCAGAGGACAGCAGAGAGCTGGAAAAACAACGCAAGAGTAAACTGACGTTTTTCTCAATTTGGACAATCGAGCCCCCAACATGCATGTCGGGCCTGAGAAATTTCTTCAGTGAGATTTGCCCATTTTAACCACTTTCCATGCAGTGGTTATTAAGTGAATCACCACTTGGTTGTTAAATGGACCATTGACTTTGCTTGTCCGGAGGTGAAAAGAGGGGGAAATCACACACACACACCCCTTGGGACACAGCAATGGTCGTAAGTATGAGTCAAGTTGCTAAGCATCTGAATTTGGACCACGTGACTGCTGGGAAAAATGACCATAAGTCTTTTTTTTTCAGTGACTTTGACGGTCAGTAAGTGTTGTAAATTGAGGACTGTCTGTGTTTGTTCTGACCACATTTCGTAGCTTCCTCTGTCATTTTTTTCCCCTGCGAGATTTTTGCCCATAAGAAATACAGCAAATCCTCGACTTACAACCACAACGGAGCCCAAAATTTAGGTTGCTCAGGGAGACATTTGTTAAGCGAGTTTGGTCCCATTTTATGACCTTTCTTGCCACAGTTGTTAAGTGAATCACCACGGTTAACGTTAGCAACACGGTCGTTAAGTGTATCTGACTTTGCTTGTCAGAAGGCCGCAAAAGGGCACCACGTGTCCTCGAGGATGCTGCAACTGGCATAAGTACATGCCAGTTGCCAAGCCTTTTAATTTTGATCCCGTGAACATGGAGAGGCTGCAACGGTCGTACTTGTGCAAAATAGTGGTGCGATGACCCAGAGTGTAACACAAATATAACAAAATCCAGAATGTAAATAAATGTCCTTTAATGCCTCCAAGTTGGCCTCGCAGTTCAATAACACTCAGATGGGGATAAAACGTACTTAAAAATAGTCTTCAAAAGAAAACAATACAGTCCGAATTTAACGAGCAGATAAGAGGTGAAATTAAAAAAAAAAAAAAAACTACAATGAAGGAATTTCCACAACGGAACAGGAGAAGTATTTACCAAATTCAAGGAGATAACAAGGCACAGTCCGTTGGAAGGACGCCAACCAAGATAACTTCAGACCAAAATAAAACAGGCTTTGTTTCCAGCGTTCGCCAGTACGCAGGTCCGTCCTCTTATCCAGTTGTCACAGCTGCAGCCCATGAAGGGGATCAGGGCCCTTTCCTCCCCCGTAGACCAGCCATTCACGTTTCTCCCTTATTTTCTCCTCCCTGTGTGCCCTAGGATGGAGAGGGGATGGGCCTGGGTCCTCCTCTGACTGCCCAGCCGGCCTCTGCCCTTCCCCAGCCTCCTCCACCACCTCCGGAGCCACATTCCCACTCCCTATCGGCTGTTCCTCCTCTCCCTCAGAGTCCGTCTCCACCAGTGGCATGGCAAGTGGTAAGTCACCTTTGACATTAAATGAACTGTTGTAAGTTGAGGACTGCTTATATTTGACAAAATGGTTTTTCCCGCCCCCCTCCTTTGGATTGTGTGTGAGACTTTCTCCTTCACCACCTAACTTTCCCCAAATACCACTTTCCCTCCCCGTTACGCTGCTCTTGGGATCTATTCTGGGTTTGTTTGCAGTTTGTAAATTTGTTTTGTTTTCTAGGGCGTTTTGTTGGTTCAGGAAAAGAACAAAAATAAATCCATCAACTTACGGGCCCCGCTGGACAAGATGAACCAAACATTTGAGTTTATGCAAAGAAAGAACAACAGAAACACATCGATTTATATTTTTTTTTAAAAAAAGGTTTACAACGGGGCTTCCCAAATGTTATACAGATGGGAACTGGCTGTCTTCTCAGGTTTTCCTCGACTTACGGCCATAACGGAGCCCAAAATTTCCACTGCTAAGCAACAAAGTTGTGAAGTGAGTTTTGTCCCTTTCTTGCCATGGTTAAGGGAATCCCTGCAGTCGTTAAGTTAATCACGCGGTCGCTAAATGAACCTGGCTTCCCCGTGGACTTTGCTTGTCAGAAGTTCGCCAAAGGGGAATCATTTTGACTCTGCAAACCGTCATAAATATAAGTCAGTGGCCAAGCGTCCACATTTTGATCATGGGGATGCTGTAATGGTCGTTGTGTGTCAAATATGGTCGTAAGTCAGTGTCAGTGTAAATTTGAACGGCCACGAAAGTGAATGGTTGTAAGTCCAGGACACCTTGTACCTTCATACCCTAAATTTTCCATTAGAGCAGTGGTCGCCAACCGGTGGGCCGGGGACCCTTGGTGGTCTGTGAGAAAATGTTGGTGGTCCGCAGAGAAATGTCACCCCCAAAGCAATTAATCCAGGTTGCGTGGGAACACAAGGCTGCGCCGCTTGCATTGCGGACAACACGAGGTAGTGAGGGGAGGGGAAAAAGGGCGGAGGGGGGGACTTGCCCCACTCGCCCCATGCGCCTGGCCTGGCCACTGGGCTGCTTCTTTCCGCTTCTTCCTTCTTCTGCTTTTGGCTGCATGCAAGGAAAGCAGCCGAAGTCTGTCTTTCTCTCCCCCAAACTCCCACAGAAATGAGTCTTTGGCACCCTGCAAGGCCTCCTGCTCCAAGAGGCTCATTTCTGGTGGAGTTTGGGGCAGAGAACGAAAGACTTCTGCGGCTTCTGCTGTTTTCCTTGCACGAAGCTAAAAGTCTCTCCCTTTCTCTCTCTCTCTCTCTCTCTCTCTCTCCCTCTGAGAACGGAGCTGGAGACCGTATCCTGCGATCCCAAATCAAGAACGATCGATCGGTAGGAAAACAGGGGTGGGGGATTTTCCTGCAGACTTTTGGGGGGGATTTTCCCAGGGTCTCTATGAGTTTGGTGGTCCCTGAGGTCCAAAAGGTTGGCGATCCCTGCATTAAAGAATTCAAAAAAATAAATAAATCCCAGTTTTTACAGCAACGGAGTGAGAATGGTAGAAATAAGGCAGCCCCATCTCACTGAACACATCAAAGCCTTCAGCTCTATGCTTTCCCTTGGACCAAAACCCAGAAAATGCCAGAAGCCGTTTCAGATATAATTCATCTCCTGATTGCAGGCTGGAGAATAAAAGCCACATTCCCAACATCGTGTCCTTGGCTCTTCTTCAAGGCTGCTAGAGGTTCTGCAACCAACTGGGGGCGGGCTGCTCTGGGGAAG